TCTGGATCCTGGCGGCCTGTGGAAAGAGGGTTTTTGTGTTTGTCTCGTCTCCTGATCGTCCACTGTTCCTCCCCCGCGGAGTCCTCTGGGTTTTTGGCTCTATATGTGGGGAGGTTCAGTTTTTATCCAGTAAGCCTGGCTCCAGGAGGAGACCACTTTAAAGTTCCTGCATCAAGTTCTGGTTCCACGTCCTGTCTCGGCTACCCTCTTCAACTGAGCCTGCTCATCTGCACCTGATCCTGTCTGCTCCCGTGGCCACGCTTCTGAACTCTGTCAGACTCTGAACCCTCCTGGGAGCCTGTGGATGCCTGGAAGTCTGGATCCTGTCATCTGTCTGTTCCTGCCTGCCCTGTGTCCCTGTCTTGGATCAGCTTCCTGCAACTCCTCAGGAGCTGCTGCAGCCAGGAGCTCCTCAGTAGAAATCTCTGTCTGGAATCTTTCTGCATTTTGAGACTTTTGGGTTATTTGGAGTGAATTCACCGTTGGTGTATTTGTGCAGGATTAGTTTTCTCTGAGATTGAGCGGGGGCCGGTCTGGCGTTGACCGTGACCTCCGGAGAAGCAGGCCTAGACTGGTTGGTACCATAGATGAAGAATTTTACTGCCAGACTAAAAGAAATCTGTCTCCACCTGCTGGCAGCAGCAGGGAATCCCTAAAGAACTAACCTAAAAGGTTAAGCAGCTACATTTATCAAAACTCACTGATATCATGGAGGTCAGGGAGGTCAGAGGTTGGGAGGTCAGCGAGGGCCACGGTCCACCTGAGCGTTAAAGTCACAGAGTCGGCATCATCACATCTCAGTCCCACAGACGACTCGTCACATAGCGCCACCGTTTGGCCGGATGCGGTCTGCAGCAAAAGAAAAACAAACACAAAGATCCCAACAGAGTCCACGGAATGTTTGGACGACCCACCAGCTGCGATTTTAAACAACCGAGTTCACCTGAGCAGAGCAGAGCCCCCTGCTGGTCAGCATGTTGAACAACAATGACTTTAAATCGTCCGTCTGAGAGCAGGACAGCAGGAGCGCCCATTGCTGAGAGAACGACACCGTCTGCAGAGGCTGAGAGACTAAGACACAAACGGGGTACCTCTGAATTACACAGAATAAACCAGATTAAATTTCATTACCTTTGGTTAAAGCAGATTATACCAATAAGATCCAACCAAAACAGATTAAACTTGATTCACTTGGAATAAACCAGATTAAATTACTTATTTATGGTTCAGCTATATTAAACTAAGATTGACTCGCTTCTCTCTGACCAGATTAAATAAGATTAGACTCAATGAACTCGGATTAAACAATGTCAGATTAAACTGCTTAGATTAAATTAGACCTGTAAACAGGTTAACCGTTGGGTCCTCGGCTGATTTTTGATGATTTTATAAGATGGATAATCTTCTACATGCTTCACAAACAGTCTTTTCCTAACATGATATCTGCAGTAAATCTAATTGTGTTAAATGACTTTTGTTAATTGCAGGTTGAATAGCTCGTTACAGCAGATAGAGGGCGTAGCAGCTCAGGCTAACGGGCTACTGGGTGTACCTGTTCATTTATTGAAAGGTTGTTTACAGTATAGAGTTTCCCTGGAAAATCGGGATCGTTCTGAATGTAGAAGGTTTCATTTTCTGTGCTGAGATGATCAGAGTGAGATTCGTCCATATTTCCGATGGAATAAAAAAACGTGTATTATTGTTTTTAACCTAAAAAATTATTGTCAACGAGGTTATCTGGTCAAGCTGCTCCAGTTGGGGGTTGTTGTCACTTGTAAGCCACCAGAGATGGGAAGTAACGAAGTACAAATACTTCGTTACTGTACTCAAGTA